GGAATGGTAGGAAATAGAGAGGAAAGGATAACTAAATGTAGAAAAGGGAAATTAATAATTAATGAATGGGATAAGAACTGAGAGAGGAAGAGAGAAAGAAAGAGAGAGAATACATGTAGATATAGTAGGAGATTAATTCTATTGTCGATACAAAGGGATGTGATACATAGGGAGGAAAGAGGAACTATAAGCGTAGGAAAAGAGTCAAAAGACTAAGACATTAATTTATTTGTGAAAGGAAAAGTGCGAGAGAGAGGGAAATGAGAAATAGAGGAAGTGATAGACTGATAGTACAATCATTATAAATTATTGTTATTTAATGATGAAGCAAATTATACATGTACTTGTAGTACTTAATACTTATTATTATTATTATTATTATTATTATTATTCATTATACCCTGTAGTTGTCAGAGGGATATCAAGAGACCTTTAAACGCTACCAGACTTTCTTGTTCCGTTGTAAAGGACTCTACACATCAACCAGCAAAGAAATAGAGGAACTAGCAAGTACTATATATACAAAATACAATACACAGACATGTAATATAAAGCTATGCATGTACACTGTACATATACAGGTACACGTACTACGGCATGTACATGTATTTTAATTGTTACTTTTTCGTGGCCCAAAATTTTCATAATTTTGTCAATTTTAAGAGAGCACAATTTAATTCTTAATACATTTCTAATAAGCCAATTTTGATTGACAAGTATACGATGTATAATTTTTAACTGACCTTTCGCATGCTTAAATTCATGCATTAAAAAAAAATTACTAATCCTCTTATATTCCATAGAGAAGGGCATGTGCAGTTTTAAACCAGTCAAGTCCAGTGGCGATCCTAATCTTCTCTTCATTCCAACTAACCTTCATCTACAAAAACTTCACGTTCTCTCGTCAGAGAATAAACACAGAGAGAGCCTAGAGACAAGCACTAGTGCTAATAATAAGAAGAAAGATGGTGCCTATTGTTTTGTGACGATGGGATCTCCGACAGCCTCTAATAGTTCTTATGGCAGTAGATCCCCAGGGGGTAGCAAAGGGCTTAAGAGTGTCATTTCTTCTCTAAAGTCTTCTCCTAGTTTCCTGCCTCAGAAGGTATCGACAACTGCTGGGCTCGTCCTCTCTGAATTATGTAAGTACATGTACATCTATAATACTTACATGTACATGTAATAGCGAGTTAGTGACTAGTCTATTACATGTACATGTATATACGTGTACGGCACTGGTCAGCAATAAGTTGACAAACAAACGATAGCTAAACTAGAGTAAACTAGTTTGGTGAACGGAATAAAATGTGATAATACACAAATAAGCAACCACATTATGTTTGAATATACACAAGTTACATTTGCCAGAGACTGTGGTAGCATTTGAGCATGGATAATGTTAGTTTACAACTAGTATGTCACTATGAAAACGATAAACTATAGCAAACTTAAACGCAACTTAAACGCAAAACGTGTCAACTTATTGCT